TCTCGAAGGGTAATGCTACATGTACACACACTTTTACACAATCTTTTACACCTCTCTCATATGGAGGGGGTCCACGATTATTTTATTATGTGTGGGTCCCCCTCCATGTGAGGTGGGTGTAAAAAATTGTGTAAAAGATTGTGTACACTTAACATTATTCGTTCTCGAACACAATTTTTGTGGGGGAGACCAAGAAGGTCTTTTCCAAGCATGACCGCCTTTTATATTTATATTATTAAAAGAATCCTTGGTGGGCCCACAATAGTCAAGGTCTGGGTATTAAGACTTGGGTCCCACCTAAAGTTTTGCAGGACAATCTTTGCTTAATCATCGAACAATTCATAACATGCTATTTTTCGACAAATTGTCGGTCCAAATTTTGCTCTGTGGGCCACCGGATGACGTGGCCCACTGTCCTGTCTCTTGTTACACAAGTATTGCATAAACGTAAATTGTCCAAGCAAAAAAGTTGCCCCATTTCTAAATTTTTACTTTTTTTTTTTCGTCTTTTTGGTTGGCCATCCAATTACTTGGTTAAGCTTGAAATATTAAAAAGAGGTCTTAACTTCAAATTTTGTCAGTTTATAATTTTAAATATCATGTTCGACCAGTTGAAGTTAACTATTACACGAAAAATAAAATATTATGACGCAAGATTGAGAATACATATTTTTGAAATTCCGAGTTCTAAGTTCAATTGGTTAAATATATTTAGACTTCTCTTATTCCTATGTTGAACAACTCAAAAAATTTTAAGATGGGTTTTGACTTTTAAATCTCATGTTCGACTAATTAAATTAATTGAACAAAGGGTGAGAACAAATGGCTCGGACCACCACTAAATATGACTCCAACTCTAGTATTATGACGTTTTGAGTATGAATATTGGTAGATCATACATTAAGATCTCACATTCAATCGATGAGAATTAACTAACAATACAAAAAGGAGATATTATACAAAAGGGTGAGAATAAATGGCTCGGACCACCACTAAAAATGGCTCCAACTCCAATCTATCGCGTATCATGCACGAGTTTACATCATCCCATTCACTTTTTACATCTTTATTTCTTCATTGGGAGTTGATGAAAACATGCAATAATTTAGGCACCGTTTGGTAACCATTATTTTAGAAAAAAATGTATTCTTTGTGTCAAATCACACCTTAAATGTGATAATGTGTAAAAGTTATGAACCTTTCATGCAATTAAAATGTAGGCACCGTTTGGTAACCATTCTTTTTTTCATTCTCATTCTTCTACTAATTTTTTGTGTCAAATCACACCTTTTTTGTGGTTGAAAATGAAGGAAAATGTATTGATGTGATGGAAAATATTATTTTATTGATGAATGTGTGGTTGAAAATTAGTAGAAGAATGAGAATGAAAAAAAGAATGGTTACCAAATGGTGCCTTATTTATTCAAAAGGAAGAATAAAAACTCCAATATCCAACACAAAATCCATTTGAAAAAATGCTAATGGACCCCTCTCACCCCACCCCACCCCACCCCACCCCACCCCCTTCCTCTCTTTCTATAAAATATCAAAAACAAGAAAAGACTCTAAACACAAGGCTTTCTCTGTACAATAAAAGGTGACAAATATTTTTTGCATTGTTTTTGGGAATGTTCATGTTTTGCATGGGAATAATAGCTTTTAGTCCAATCTCTATTACAAGATCTTAATCTTATTAGGATAATATAAATAAAAAGTGTTAGCTTATGCTCAAAGCACACCATCTCTCTCTCTCTCTCTCTCTCTCTCTCTCTCTCTCTATATATATATATATATAGGGCGTAGGGACATGGCTCGATCACTCCAACAACATTTTAAAATTTTCCTAGATTTATGATTTGAAATATTAAAAAGAGGTCTTAAGTTCAAATTTTGTCAGTTTATAATTTTAAATATCATGTTCGACCAGTTGAAGTTAACTATTACACGAAAAATAAAATAATATGACGCAAGATTGAGAATACATATTTTTGAAATTCCGAGTTCTAAGTTCAATTGGTTAAATATATTTAGACTTCTCTTATTCCTATGTCGAACAACTCAAAAAATTTTAAGATGGGTTTTGACTTTTAAATCTCATGTTCGACTAATTAAATTAATTGAACAAAGGGTGATAACAAATGGCTCGGACCACCACTAAATATGACTCCAACTCTAGTATTACGAGGTTTTGAGTATGAATTTTGGTAGATCATACATTAAGATCTCACATTCAATCGATGAGAATTAACTAACAATGCAAAAAGGAGATATTATACAAAAAGGTGAGAATAAATGGCTCGGACCACCACTAAAAATGGCTCCAACTCCAATCTATCGCGTATCATGCACGAGTTTACATCATCCCATTCACTTTTTACATCTTTATTTCTTCGTTGGGAGTTGATGAAAACATGCAATAATTTATTTATTCAAAAGGAAGAATAAAAACTCCAATATCCAACACAAAATCCATTTGAAAAAATGCTAATGGACCACTCTCACCCCACCCCACCCCACCCCACACCCTACCTCTCTTTCTATAAAATATCAAAAACAAGAAAAGACTCTAAACACAAGGCTTTCTCTGTACAACAAAAGGTGACAAATATTTTTTGCATTGTTTTTGGGAATGTTCATGTTTTGCATGGGAATAATAGCTTTTAGTCCAATCTCTATAACAAGATCTTAATCTTATTAGGATAATATAAATAAAAAGCGTTAGCTTATGCTCAAAGCACACCATCTCTCTCTCTCTCTCTCTCTCTCTCTCTCTCTCTCTATATATATATATATATAGGGCGTAGGGACATGGCTCGATCACTCCAACAACATTTTAAAATTTTCCTAGATTTATGTTGAAATTTTATAATTATAAATATATTGTGCCTCCAATATTTCTTCGTCCCACCTAGATGAAAAATACTGGCTCTGCCACTATAAACGGAAGTGGAGCTAGGGGTGGCGATCCCCTGCAAGATTTTGTAATTTTTTATAAATTTATGCAGAAATTTTTATTTTTTTATAATACATGTATATTTTACTTTTAACAATTTTTCACCGTCCCTACATGTAAATCCTAGCTGTCTCTCTCTCTCTTTCTCTCTCTCTCTCTCTACTTTTATTTTAGTATTTAACTGCAAAGCAATGAAGCAAAGAATCTCCTCTTACACACAGCCTTATTGTGTTGCTTTCCTTTGTAAGTATTCCCACTTTCCTTTGCTTACAATTCAGGACCAGATGTTCTTTTTTTTGCCATCTTTCATTTAAATATTTTATTTCAAAATTCGAATTATACCCTGAAAGTTTGGAATCTCTGATTTCTTTCAGATGTTGATGTAGTTTAATTCAATACAAGTTTTGTTTGAACATCTTCATTCTTTCTTTTTGCTTTGAACTTAATCCTTAATGTTGTTATAAACTTCTGATTCTGGTTATCAGAATTGATGTTTGATCACAAAATCGAAATGGTCCCTTCATAACCAGTTGTGCATAATATCAAATAAATCATTTTCGTCTTGAAGTCCATGTTAACATAATTTTGTTTAGGACCAAATGCTTGCTTCGAAATTGAACACACAATTTTTTTTATCATAGCAGCCTCTTCAGGTGCAGCTGGATGTGTTTTTCCGCTGTTATTTGTGCTCAATTCATTTCGACTCGAATTGATTGAAGCATCAGAATAGTTTCTGAACACAGTTCTATTCACTTGTTCTTCGAATTCTATTCAATTCTTTTATATCTTGTTGAGTTTTCCTTCAGATTCGTTGTTTCTTCCAAAAATTTTGCCTGGATTTTCAAAGGCCTCGACTCGTATTTTACAATTGTGGGATTCTTTTATTACTGCTGAGATTAGACAAAGAGTTGGAGAAATTAGAAAAACATCATGAGTTTCTTAACATTTATAACAGGTTCTACGAAAAATTCTTGGCAACCGGCCATGACAGTCGATACTACAACAGCGTCATACTGGCTTAACTGGCGGGTTTTGCTCTGTTCCATGTGGATTCTAATGTCGATGGTATGTGCATCAATTCTTATATCTAAATACGAAGGTCCGCGCCATGTGAAAGGAGGAACAGCTGAAAACGAACTAGACTCTGCTGGAGTCTTGTATGAAGATGACGTTTGGAAGCCGTGTCTACGAAGTATACATCCTGCGTGGTTACTTGCATTTAGAGTCATGGCTTTCACCGTGCTTCTGTTAATGCTGATCCTAAACGTTGTCGTTGATGGAGGAGAGATTTTTTTCTTCTATACTCAGTAAGTTACTCCATTTCTTAAACCATATAACACAATGAAGTGGACTTAGCTTATGTTCTTCGCATAGAATTCCGATCGAATGACTATGTTCTTTTTACATTTTTGAAGCTATAATTGTTTATTTCTGTGTTTAATTTGTCGTATTGGATGCTCAACAGGTGGACTTTTACATTGATTACCATTTATTTCGGGGTAAGAAATCGTCTACATTTCATTTGTGAATAAACACATATCGTGTCTTCTTTTTCTTATGACAATTTGATCTGTTGTAGCTTGGATCCTTACTGTCCATAAACGGATGTTACCGGTATCATAAATTTGGTGGCGATAAATTTGATGAAGAGCATTTTGATGCTGAGCAGGGCGCTCGCAGATACTCTGCAAGTGCCCGTAATTCTAATGCATCGAGTGCTACAAAAGGCATGGACCTCAATCAAGAACATCCTGTTCGCCAAATTGCTGGCTTCTGGGGTTATGTCTTCCAAATCATTTTCCAGGTAAATCCCGGTAAATAATTTCTGTTATAAAGACGTCTGCATCCTTATTTAGACTAATTTTTACATTTGTCCCCACCTTTTTGTCGATAGATGAATGCTGGAGCTGTGATACTGACGGACACAGTATTTTGGTTCATAATCGTACCGTTTCTTACCATTAAGGATTACAATTTGAATTTTGTACGTATCGTCGAACATTTCTTTTCATTACAAAATCTAACAACTCGGGGTTCTAATTACAAATTCCTTTTATTTTTCGTTGTCATATGTACGAATAATCCTGCAGTTGATTATAAACATGCACTCGATCAATGCCATTTTTCTGATTGGTGACACTGCATTGAACTGCTTGGTAAGTCCATATTGCCAATTAATTTGTACCATAATTCATATTTTCAGCTTCTCATTATGATTTTCTCTCTTGTTGTGACCATTATTTCAGCGATTTCCTTGGTTTCGTATTGGGTACTTTTTTCTCTGGACGGCTGTTTATGTCGTTGTACAATGGGTCGTCCATGCTTGCATCGCGCTTTGGTAAAACATCCTCTTCCCTGTCCTTGAAGTTAACTAAAAATGTATGTGCTCCCTTTGTAACAGTGTATTTTTTGAAACAGGTGGGCTTATCCATTTCTTGATTTGTCGTCGCCATTTTCTCCATTATGGTACGTAGATTTTGATTTCCATCAGATTTACAAATACATTTTATATTCAACCTGATGTCAAATATCAATCTAATCGACTTCCTTTACAGGTATTCAACCGTCGCTCTGATGCACATACCATGCTACGGCATATTCATACTGATAATGAAGATGAAACACTATTTGCTATCAAAATGGTTTCCCCAGTCTTATAGAAGTATTCAGTAATGCAATTTGAGGAAACGCCAGTTTTCTTTACTCGACTGATACACCTAGAGTATAGAAAAACGAAGAAAGATTTGTGTTTGTGGCCAACAATAAAAGAATACGAGTATATTTTGCAAATTTTCATAAGAAAATCTTGACAATCAATTGCATTTTGAGGAATATACAGCTGATAAGAAACTGTAATATGATCATTAGTTGAGTCCATCCTTGTAAGTTGTAACTAAATAGATCTGAAAGAAATATACAGTGAATTTAGTTTTTATTTCTCTGGCCCTTCTTGTCCTTTTTCTTATTTCTGTTTGTCCAGTTTTCATATATTTTCTCCAAATGGTCCTCAATGCTTTCTTTTCATTCATTATTGGATAATTTATATTGTTTCTCATCTCCTGGCTTCAATTCTATGCATCAAATATCTTTTGGTTGCGTCTGGAGTATTGGATTAGACAGTAATTTGGTGTAAAGTTATAATATATAATAATAGGTGAATTGTATTACGGTGATTGAGTTGGACAAATACTCTTTAATAATGGCATTTGTACTATCGATCGTACAAGGGTGGAGATAGGTTTAAGTCAGATAATATAATCAAAAATCTAAGAATACTTATCCACCTTAATCCACTATAATATAATTTACATACGATCATATATTCTATTTTTTATACTAATTCTTTAATTCTGGCTAGTCAAATGCAACCTTTAAGTGCATGTTTGTATGCAATATACGTTGAAAGTACGTAGTTCGACCCTAACAACACCTGAAGGGGGGATGAATAGGTGATTATGCGAAATTAAAATTATTTGATAATTAATTAGCAACAAGTCACTATTAATTATTTTTATAGATGATTAAACATGCAATTCAATTAATCCTATGTTGAAATACCGCAGTTATTTAAGTAATAAATGAACACAAGATTTGATCACGGAGAAACTCAACTGGGTGAAAACTTCGAGCACTTTGCCAGTAAACAATCCACTATAAACGATTTTTAACTTACAGTCTACCAGACTAGACGACGACACGTACTATTTAATCTCCTGACTGCAATTCCAACAGCTCTCCTGGATTCTATGCTCCTACACCAATTTCCAACTGCAGTTTCCAAAGCTCTCCTTGATTGCGCTCTCCTTCAACAACTCCCAACTTTGTGAAATCGTCTATCTCCTGTGGATTCACGAAGAACACAATGTTCTTCAACAACTGGAACTTCAGTCACATTCCCTTGATTTTCAGAAACTCTGACAGATATGTAGGAAGCAGTAGTTTGGTATTTGGATTGTGAAACTGATGCTTTCACCGCCAGAACAGATCAATTTGAACAATGAATGTTGAATGCTTCAGATAATGATAAGAATATGAAAGCAGTGATATTTCTCAATAATCAACCTTCGAAAACCGTTTAGAGGCATTCAAGTATTTATATGTAGGTTAGGGAATGAATGGGCCGAACAAAAAGCCTTTAAAAAACGAAATAAAAATTTCCTTAATAACATTGTCGCTCGAGCGACAGGTTTTCGCTCGAGCAAAGGTGAGGCGACAGTCGAGCAATTAAGTTTCTGTTTCTGACGCTTGAACCAAACCTTGGCGAAAAGCTAGCGAAATTCCGTGCCGTTTTTCCTTCTTTTCCATTATCAAACCCTAGACCTAAAATATCATAACTTTCACTAAGTGCACACTACTCCTTGAATTTTTATAACATATCAACTTTAGTCATTTTTGTTCATGGAATAGCCAATTACATTAAATACCTAACAAACTTTGACATTCTCTAACAAAACTACTATCTAAGTCAAGACAGTATTAATTTAAAATTACAGACTCAAATCAACTGACACAATTAACAACTGTCTTGTACGAATTCTGTATTTCATTTTTTCAATACCTGTTTCCTGAAATAGACAACTCAAATAGAAGTGTAAAATGTATGTGAAACATTGTTAAATATAAAATAGTTCAAGCAATTCACAGTGTAAAAAGTGATTTAAACAGTTAATAAACCATAATACAACTTTTCAGTTTCATATCATATGTTAAATTAAGATGTAATATCAATGCAACCCAACATACCAAAACGAATCATTGATACTACTAAAATATCAAAACTTAATCTAGCAAAAATTGAAAATATATCATATAATCAGAATCAAATGTTTTAGATACATCAAGTAGATAAAAACATATACATCCAGTGAAAAACAAAAATACACCATCATCCCAATGACGACGAATCCATCGGAGCCCACGCTGAATATATCCAATAGCACCCCGAAGTGTAGTAAACTCGGTAGTGTGTCGATCAACTGTAGCTTGCAGCTGTGTAAGCTCTGCCATCATCTGAGCCTATTGCTCAATCAGCATGGTCATCTATCCCATAAGCGCAACAGATGATCAATGGGACATAAGGGATATTAGCAGGAGGAGGGACATACTCAGTGGGAGGAGGAGCAGAGGTAGGCAAATGTGAGGGATGAAAAGATATAAGGTCATCTATAGGATCAGTCGGCACAATCGGGTTAGCAGGCTGTGCTGGCTCAGAAGAAGCATGAGACCTACTCTAAGCAAAACTAGTGTGGTCAATCGGCCGAGAAACCCTCCGAGGGAACCCTCAGGAAAACTAATGCATAGTGCGACACAAGACGATAAATAAGACAGGCATAGGAAAGTCTCACCCGAGTCCTTGTGACACGAAAGGTACGCAATATCTGCTGACAGATGAAAGTTGCCGTGCAAAAGGGCGTATAATAATCACACCCACTCCATAGGTAAAGAAGATGTATACGGCACTGGCCACAGATTTGTGCACATAATACGCAACAAGATTTGTCGGTTAGTGGGAAGATAACTAGTACACATCGCACCTGTACCACCCTCCAACGGTGTGTTAAACACCGTGGAACGGACTAGAGAGTCCGATGGAAGTGTCTCAACAGACAGATAGGGAAATAACTGGTGGAAAACCTAGGAATATGAACAAGACTCGATATGATGTCGGAGTGTCCTAACCGTCCTACCCCAAAGAAATACTCTAAAAGATGAGCCACTAACGTCATGAATGTTAGCATAGAACTCGTGAATAAGAAGGCTAGGGGAAAGCGTCAACTCGACCAATAAGGGTTCCCATCCCCGGGAAGTGAACATAGCAGTGAGGTCGGGTGACAAGTCAGACAGAATGACCTCGCACTCAAATAAAACGGGATGTAATGAAAACTGCGACCCAAAAGTATCTTGGGCAATTGCAGAGACAAACCTAGACCTATTGTAAGAAGTCGAGGTACCGGTTTCGAAGCTGTATCCGGGCTCTCTTAGGCGGCATCTGAAGCGGGTAAAACCAATCCATCAAAACCACAGCGGAACTTATGAGATGCATGAAATGCATGAATACATGCAAATCGAGGCATACAATATATATGCAATGCACCTGAGGACCAATGCACATAAAGATGCCGTGATGCGTAGAGGAGGTGACATGATGCAATGACCGCATGTCATCATGACACGATACCCTGACTATGAGACGCGATGACGTGACACCACCTTGCGGTGGCAACACCAACATCAATATAAACAACATCAACACAACAAAACCAACAAACCGAATGTGATAAAAGTGTTGGAACGATGTCCACCCTAGAGACATGAAACATAGCCAAACACGAAAAAGAAAAAAATATATCGAAAATGTGGCGCAAGTGATCCAGCCAAGAAGCCCAACCTCATAGCCAACAAAAACCAACCACAATCAACACAAGGTAATCCCACAACTACTCCTTAACCTAAACTCCATCACATTCTAAGCCTCAATCATAAAAAAAAGAAAAATAATGCACAAATAAACTAAACCAAGTAGAAGCAAGAAGAAACCACCATAAATGATGCAATGTATGAAGAAACAAGATGAAAGGTATCCTACAATGAGGTGGAATGAAGCGATAAACACAAGAATAGCGAAATCCCCAAAAAAATGAAAAACAAAATCGAAGAACCTAGGGTTTTCGGTCCTTACCTTGAGATTTTGAGAAAAATAGATGAAATGGAGTGGAAATCCAACTCCAAGATTGATGCTTATCGATCACTTGAAGGTTAATTGCACTATGGTGAAATGGGTGTGGCGTAATTTTTAAGTAAAATGTGAGAAGGAAATGAAAAAAATAGCCAAAAAATGCGAAAAAAAAAGTTAAAATTCAAAAATACGGTTTGACGCTCGAGCGAAGGTCGAGCGAGAAGCGGGCGAGGGAGCTTCTGCTTCTACTGCTCGAGTGAGACTCAACAATAAGCCGCAAAAACTTAATGACAAAAATAGCACTGAATTTTTGAAAATTAAGAAAAATAACACCTTTTTTTTATTTTTATGTTTAAAAACAAGCACTTGACAAGCAGAGGAATTGAGAAATGCATGTGCTCACAAGTAAGGCATTATCAAGAAAACTTTCCCACGTACTCAATCAAGTTCAAAACAGAGTAAAGTGTAGGAGACTCACACGTGTAAAGTACCACTATTTTCTCTTGAACATGACTCCAAACCTTAAATTTGTGAGAAGCGATATGCAAACATCACTGTTAAATAAGGATGTTCCTTACGCATGAAAGTCAAACCCATATGAATCTTAGGACTTGCAAACTAGCACAATTACATAGATATTTTTATTTTCTCTCCCTAAATTTAAGCATATACTTTGTTTTATGTCGCTTTCTCAAATATTGCATCTTATGTACAGACTCATGTCCATTAAGCGACTACATTGACCCCTATAATGAGTTTTAGGCCGATTAACCCAAGTCAGCTGATCATAGGCACCAGGTTATGAGAACCCCTCGAGCTTAATTACTCGAGTAATAGGTTTCAAACACAAGTATAAGATGAACCAAACTATTATATTAAATAATACAGGGAAATACATCATGATCTAAAGTCATCTAAATGTAGGTCAATTCACGTTCAAGATAATCTTATCAACAGATGATAGCCATCCCAAACTTCACACATGTAGTCCAGACTT